TTTTATAAATACACGTTTTTTGTATGGCCCTTCTAGAATGGCTTGCCGATGTTAGTAATTGGGAAATCTTTTTGAATAAATGCTTGCAAATACTTATGAGAGTTGTTTGGATGTCTAAATTTTTCCTGTGTTTTTTTATTTAATCCATTGGAATTCAACAAAAAGCTCGACATATGCGTCTAAAATATTTCCTTATTGTAATTGAATAGCAATAGATAATAAAGATTTTAAACTAAGCGAAAATGTACTACTTTAATGTTCTCCACTTTAGTTTGTTCAGATATTTGGCGACATGGTCGCCATTCTCTGAATTATTGATATCCCTTTAATTCGGAAAGCTCAAGGTAGATTTTCATTGAGGTCATGATTTAAGCCAAACTGTTTATGAATCGGTGCCATTTACATGCCATGTGTACTGCTTTCGGTACACGTTACTAAATTAAAAACTTTAAATTACTTTCATCTGACTATTGTTGTCGTACCTCACGCACCTCAGAAAAAACATTTTAATCCTACCTTCGGACCATAAGACACGCCTAACATTTGAGTCCATTGTTTTATATATTATAAAAAGATGCACTGCATCTAATCTTTGGTCTTGAACATTACGTTGATTATGCGTAAATCAAGAATATCTGTGGATTGCAACTTCAGACGATGCTGGTATATATTTGTATTAACTCTTAGTTCAATATTGGTTTTGAACTCAAAGCTAAAGTTTTGTACATTTACTCGATTTGATATTTTGGTCATGGTCATCTAAATAGAGACGTAGTGGAAATTATTTATCAGTACTTCACGTACTAAGCGAAAACGTGCAGGTCTGCTGGAATTCACCGTCCGTTTATCTTGCTCCAAAATACGTAACGACGACGTGCATAGAATTTGATCTGCTTTTCGGACCGTTGTCCCTTAATGGAATACGATTAGAAAGGGCAAAAACTGAAAGCAAAGTTTATGTCTTCTTAATAAATGGCTATAAATCCGGTTTGAAAATAGGCATGGTCAGTCCATGAACACATTCCCGCAACGTGGCAGAGGAATGTAAAGTACAGCTTATAGTAAATATTAATCAATTCCGCATCCCTCTACGAACACACTATACAGTAAATTGATCTGAAACAAAGCTTGGCAAGTTCGTTAGCTAAAAAAGAAATATTTCATAGTTCAAATCTATTAGTTTGAGATGACGGATCTGAAAGACTTGCCCCCTGAGCGAGAGGAAGTTTCTTTTTCACTTTTAATAAGACTTGTATTCTATTTACTCTTGCTATTGTTTAGTTACGGTTTGATGATACTGCTGGACGCATGGACATTTTTCTGACATTTTACACACTTGTTGTTGGCAACCAAGTAAATATATACTGATCTAATATTACCATTCTGCGTATGATGAAGTGTGGAGAGAGAACACATTCAATAGCTGAACTTTTGATTTTGTTAGCAAAAGCTTCAGCACTACTTGTCCCTATGATTGATGATATATTGGTTATAAATAAAGAAATTTATGTTGTTGAGGAAAGCCTTCTTTTCGTTTTTCTTAGCAAATAAAATTTAAATTTTCATCAATCTTCTCACGCCTCGCAGGACCTACCAAACGGGGTTAACCTATCAAGAGCATTTATTATAAGAAGAAGATTCGGATATATAATTTCCTATAATTTGAAATCTCTTTTGAAAATATTTCTTTAAGATATTTGATCTATCCATGTCAGGGAAAAGCAATAAAAGTCTATCTAAAACCGCTTAGCGCTTTATCGTTATAAATCCAAAGGCATCTATATGCAAACGGTACGGAGACTATGAAAGACGCTTAAAAACATACCAAAAATGCGTTCACAAAGTCCTGTTTAAGATATCGATAAAGCGTCTTTCAAGCGCTTAATAGGAGAACAAAAATATATATATCGTATAATTATGGCATCTTGCAGTATTTTAGACAAAATTTGTCCTGTTTGCAGGACAAAAGACCGAGACTTAGAAAAATGATTTGTTCTCTTGATGTATAAGAATGAAGAGGTGAAAATATTTTCGGGGCAATAAAAATTTCTTTCAGCTTTGTTAATGCGGAAAATCTTCTTCTTACCCGCCTTGCACTTCACTTACTTGCACCAAAATTATCGATTAATTTTCAACATACGACATACACAAAATCAACTGCAATAAACATCACCCCAACTATATATAAGTTAATACTCCCCTTCCCCCCCTACCCCTCAAGTCATCATTTTAGTATCATGAATAAGAAAATTTTATGTTTTAAATTTCCTTAAGTAAACAACTTAAAAAATAGAATAACTAAAATTAAAAATTTGGCAAATTATTTGTAAATTAACAATTAAAATAACAACAACAACAAGAAAAAAAAGCAATTAATAACAAAGTTTAATGTTAACCCTTTTTTGTATTAAAGAATTTGTTTAAAAAAAAAAAATGTTTTTCGTCTGCGTTTATCCAGTTGTTAATTTGTTGATTTTCCTTATAAAAATAATTGATTGGTTTACATTTGGTTTGATTAAAATAACTGTAAAAGCTTAGAGAGATTTTTTTTTTTTTTTTTAAATTATGAAATATAAAAATTAATAAAAATAATAAAATCGATAGGGTTTTTCGCTAACAAGTACCCCTTTATACGGTAATAATTTATATAATGTAAGAAAAAAAGTTCAGATAATGAAAAAAAAAATATATATATTAAAAATTTTATAAATAGATAAAAATCCATTTTCAAAATACTTTACTTATGATTTAGAATTTCTAATTGAAAAAAAATAAATAAATAAATAATAAATAAAAACTTTAATGAACAGCATTAAAAAAAAAAACTGTATAAAAGTAGGCATAAACATAATATTAATCAAAGTTTTCTATGTTATAATTATTATTATTATTATTATTATTATTATTATCATCATGTACCCAAACATTATTTTTTAAGTTTTTAATACAATTATTAAATAAATAAATTAATTAAAATAATTATGTAATTATTTATATATATATATATATTTATTTATTTATATATTTATATATATTTATATATATATATATATATATATACATATATGTATATACACATATATATGTATATACATACGCATACATATATATTTATGTATAGAAATATATAAATAATATACATATGTATTTATATATAATAAATATATAAATAAATATATAAAATGCAAGACAGAATCGATTTAACATATGATACTAGTAAAAAAAAAAAAAAAAACAAACAAAAAAAAAAACAAAACAACAAAAATATATACTAAATATATAAATGAAGTTAACGATTTTGGGTGAAAAATTCATAAATAGCTCAAGCAATTATTAAGATAATGAAATAAGAAGAGCGTACTCGTTTTTGGCAAGTCTTAGACGCAGCTCAAGTAAATAATATTAAACAAGTGCCGGGTAGGGTGCGTTGAATATATCAGAGACCTTATAGCCAAGTTCTCTTTCACTTTCAGACGCATCATCAGTTCGCTTGTCAATTTTCGCCTTGCAATTATTTAGAGTACAAATTTAAGTTTAATGTGCTGCGTCCTAGTGATATTTCCAGATTCATAATGCCGTTTCGATGATCACTTACTGATATGTATATAGGCAGATCGCAATCATATTTTTGATACTCGTTTCTTGATTGACCAAGGAAGATTTGTGTCAAATTCAAGCTTCTTACCTTAACTTTTGCGACTGTAACAAGTCGACAGAAATGCTGGGTCATCAATATGATACCTTTTAGTAGAAATAGGTATATATCATCGACATCTTCGAAAACTGGATTAGTTAGAGAAAAAAAATGATTATAGGTATTTCAAGGTCTCTTCATATAAATTAAATTCAACAAGAAAGGTTTCGACGAAAATTAAAAAAGATGAAAATGGCGTACTCTTCGATAGTTATAAATGTTAAACTACATTAAAAACTCGACCTACATCGGTTGTATGCAGTAAAAACCATTTCTAGGAAATGAATATTCTACGGAGATGAAAATAGAGTACAAAATATCAGGTAAATTATAATAATAATTCAAAATAATAATTTAAAATGTATGTCTGCTTCGATAGTCTCCCAAAGATCTCGTTTACTTTTAACATTTTTTTTTTTTGCTTAATATGTACTTTGATCTTTCATTCTTGGTTCCAAAATGTATAAATGATTGATTGGTTGGGTGGGATCTCTGGCCTTCTAATGTGCCGCAGTTCATGCCAGAAAACAACATTTCAGATATATTACCCATCACTATGTTTACAAATTTTCTGGTTTCTGTATTTTCTTAACATTGTTCGCTTATTTTAGCTTGGACAATGCAGGATCTTGAGGTAGTTTGATCAAACTCTTTCGATTAAATAATCATAACATTTTTTTAATATCTTTTAAAAAAATAGAAATTTAATAAACAAAATTTTTCCCAGCTATCCGCCTGAGTGACCGAAGGCAAAAAATCTCGGTTAGCGACTAAATGGTCGTAGGTTCGAAAACAACGGCATTTGTTTAAGATTTATTGGCATTGGCAAGAGATAGAGAAGTAAAAATAGTGTTAGTTTTTGTTTCTATAGAGAAGAGCACTAAGAGTGCTTCTTACGTGCTTCAAGAACTTATTTCTTGGGCTAAAAATTAATAGAAAAATTTCTGTCAAGTTTTGTTTTACGTTGCTTTAGAAAAAAATACGTCGCCATGAATATAATCTCTGGCAAAAGTTGAGCGCTTGCAGATATTTGATCATTTTAGTAGATAAGATATCTCTCCACTCATCTGTCACGATCTCTTTTCAAACTCTCTGTGACACGCCTAAGACATATCCTTTGTTAAATTTATTGAAAACTGTCAACCAAAAGAACGACCTACAAATCTAGTTAACTTCCCCGGAAAGGTATTTCTTATCATAAAGATTTTTAAAAACAGTTATTGTATATCTCAACCTTTTTTATTGATGGTTATATATAAATACAGATGAATATATATATATATATATATATATATATATATATACATATATATAAATGAAATTTATCTTAAAATACAAAAATATTATAGAAAGAGTAAAGGCTTTTTATGTTACTTTACGTTAAATTATCTAAAAATGTATACTTATTAATTACTTTTGTGGTGGCTATAACAAATTCGACATTGTTATCCTCTTGGCAAGCAAGAAAACGTAAAGCAGCGATTTCGGCAAAAGTGCAACCACCGACAAAAAATACCAAGACAACACGAGGAATGTTTAGAGAAGAACCTTCGCTGGGCGTTGATGTATGACGGCCGCCAATGCCGATTAGTTGCGCTTGAAAATCTTCAAATGTTGGTCCAGGCAAATTGTTAATTTGACTTTTTAATGATTGCCAGCCTAGAGGTTTCAACGAAAGCTCTACAATACGTGCTGTAAGTGGAGCATAGAAACTGTGAACGTAACTAATATCTTTTGGTTCGATTTCCACAGCGTCGTCAACCGTCAAATTTAGCGTCTTAAACGAAAGTGCAATTTAAATATAAAATATATATATTTTTTTTTTCGGGATTTTACATACTTTACGTAGTACTGCATAAGCCCGGGATTCGCTTTGTGTATATAAAACGCCAGCTTTTTCCAAATTGCTAACTTTTAGGAGCACTTCCAAACCATACACATGAGCTAACTCACGTTTATAGTAATTCAAAACCTTTAAAAATTGTATTGTTTTATCCCCGTTTGTGTAGGTAATGCGTATTGCACTTTGCATCATTTACCTTCTCTTTAAAACCGGAAGCGGCTGCACATTGCATGCATATTAATCTTAATACACTTTTCAATTCAGATTTTTTTGCCATCAAATCTTCTATATAAGTACTGGGCCTTTCGATATCTTCACACATCATGAACTCTTGTTCGGCTGTCAGATCATCTGTAAATTCATAAGCGTCTAAACGCTTCCGTATAATTTCGCCAATAGTTGTGTGAACGGCCACTGATTGCTTTTGAGCGAGTAGAACAGGCAATTTATCAACCAACAATTTCATATCATGTACCGATTTGTCTTGAGTACTGGCATTCATTTGAGCACTAATCTCTTTGGCGTTGCGAGCTAATATTCTACCTACTTCGTTGAAATTTTTATTGCGCAATTCTGCATATAATTTTTCTCCTGAATTGAGTATAATAGTCTTCTTTTCCGCGGTCAAATGTGCAGGGGAAACATCGTCTTCACCACGATTTGCGAACAATTCAGCTGGTAAAGTTAATTGATTGTGTCGTATGCCATAAAATTCATCGATAAGTCCTTCATAGGTAAGTTGTGTAGCAAATGTACTTAAAAAATCGATGGAACGATCGAACAGGATTATTTGATCAATAATGCCTTTCTCGCCATTGAAAAGTAATTTCTCTTCAGCTCCTAATTGTTTTGCTCGATCCCATACGCCTTGCGACATGCTACCCTTACCGTAAATTTTCGGTATACGCCCATAAATGCGTTGCAATTGCACTAGGCCAATGGCCGCCTGATACAATACTGTAGGATCACCATCAACCGCGATGTCGCGAAAAGTTGTAGCATTTTCCATAGACAAAATATCAAAATCGAGTGGATAAAAATTCCAAGGTAATTCTTCCAATTGTCCAAAACTTCCATAGACGTTCTTATTTTCCAAATGTTTAATACATAAACACGAACGTCTTGGCACAAAGAAAATATGAAATAGCCGACCTTTTTCCTTAGTGCGCAACACATGACTGACTATGATATCCATAAGTTTTATTTGAGTTCGAATAATATAAATGATATTCGTTGCATCTCTAGGGAAACGAGTTTCCTTATCCAATTTCAATAATTTAATTCCTCTATCTGAGAAGAGACTTGGTGAAGCTATTAAGCCAATAGGACCTAGTAAGGCATCATCTAACACAATTGCCTTGTTACCCTCTATTTTCTCTAGTAAATGCACCAATTCTCTACATGATGATTCTTGTAAAAGCTGAAGGTTGACACGTTGCCTTTGCAAATATGAAAACATCTTATCACAATAAAAAAATAAATCTAATAGACTTTCGTACTTGCAATATTCCGATCGTCTTCTTCATGATTTTGATTGACAAGTTACAATAGCAAAACTTAAACATAAATGTCATAAACTATATTAAGTTGGGTTTTAATACAATAAATACGTTATACATTGTGAATGATGCGTAACGCGAAATTAGTCAAACACATAGCTTGCGTGCCTTCCTAAGGGGAAATCATATGAGGGTGGCGTTTGTTTATAGAAACGTTAATGGTGCAAAAGTGCAAAAATTAATAGCGTGAAAAATTTCTTTAAAAATGTTTGTTTAAAGCAAAAGAAGAAAGAAAATTAAAAAATATTATACTAAAATTTAATTATTATTTTATTTTAAATAATTTAATTTCATTTTATTTCAATTCAATTAAATTTAATTTTTTGCTTCCTTTATTACAATGAAATTTTTTTTTTTTGGTGAATGCGAATAACCAAAGTAAGTACTGCAAAGTCCAAAATATTAATCAAATAATTATGTTTTGCTTGTTAAAAGTCATGAACGCTGAAATTTTAAAATTTAGCAAATATTTGCAATTTATAAATCTGGTATGATCTTAAAGACCAGGTAGAGATTGACAAATAATGGGAAAGATACAACGGTAGCATTTGCATTGTTCAACTATTTCAATTATGCGTAGGCCAATGCATGTTTTGACATTTAGTTATACAATGATGCAGTGATGTATTTATTGTTTGGAATGATTAAGCCGTTTTAAAGTAAAAAAAAAAATGGGAAGAAAAGGAAATTTGAAAAAGTAGATTTCTTAAGTTTGCGATAGTAACAATTTTAAAGATTATTAAAAAGAAATTGCGACAACAAAATACACACGATAACAGATTTGCAAAAACAAACTACACATGGTATTGCTTTTACAGTAACAAAATGTGCAGTGGTTTTTATGATAATGTGCTTTAACTACACCCTATCGTTTGTAATTCACAATAATAATAAAACTGAATGGGAATTGAGAATAACGACGAGAGCCAAAAGGTTCGATAATTTGTTCTTTTTGTTTTGTTATTGGAAAAACAAATTAGGTATAGAGTAAAAAAAATTTACAGTTAAATTATAGAAACAAATAAACAAGAATAACTGCTGTTGAAAATGAGTGATCCAGCAACGAAAGATCCAATAAGGGTCACGCTGAAGAAACTCATTCAACATTCAAAGTAAGTTTAGCACTTTCTATGTATCTATGTGGGGCAATTAACAACATCGTATTTAAGGCTTAATTTAAGCGTTTGGATCTAGTTACTTAGAATCGCTATTTTTTGAAAACATAATATTTTATCAATTACAGAGCTAATTTCACAGCAGATGATGTTCTTAAGGAATTTCGTACAGTTAAAGAGAAGCGTAACAATCGAAAGCTTTTAAAGATTCTGGAGATATTAGCAAAAAATCAGCCCAAAGCATTGGAAAATTTGCAAGAAACTGCTAAACTTTTAGAAAAGTAAGTTCAAATATATGTAAATCGTATTTATTTCTATGATTGTTATTAATGTTTTTATGTCTTAGAAAGGATCCATTTTATTGTTTAATAAATTTTCTTAATTGCTATTCTGATGTCAACATAATGCAGTCGATGCGTAAAAAGGAACTAGTATCCTCCACACCATTGCTCAGCAAAAATATGTTGGATGCTTCGGAATCAGTTTTAGAGGTAAGTCTTTGCAAAGTACTATTAGCACTACTAGCGTTAGCATATAATTATAAAAATTCTAGATAAAAGAACGTGTTGTTCAAGCTGCCAGTGGTGGTTTAAGTCGCGTATCTCAGAATAACAATGCGATAGTTAGTCTGGGTTTATTGGCTGCAGCTCCTTTGTCATTAACTTCATCCAATAGTATTACAGCTGCTGCTCCGGCCACTAATACGTCCGCTACAACTTCCTTGGGGAATGCAGGATTATATCCAGCTGTCAGAACGGATCATAACCCGGACAGTTTATGGGAATTTCATAATATGGATAATTTTCAATTTCAACAAAGCAATATTGCCGCTATACCCATTAACAGTCAAGAAAATTTACTGTTATACGATTTAATTTATTGTTTAACGGGTATGCGTGGTTCCTATATAACCCCTACTGCGAATCTCTTCGAGGGTGAAAGTGTCGGTAGGGCAATATCATTAAAATTTAAGGTATCCGAACAAATTCACAGCTCTTTGCGCGATATTGCTCAAGAAATATTACCGCTTGCTTCCCATTACACTTGCATACAAAAATTTATACAAAAGACAACATTCACACAATGCAGCCAAGTGTTACAAGCATTAAGCGAAGCCTTGAATAATCTAATACATGATTATTATGTGAGTAATTCAATCAAATTTTATATTCGAGAAATTGCTTTTAATAATAATATTTATAATTTTAGCTACTGTTGGCTCAATTAGAGGCGGAGTTGAATGCTGGAAATTTAACTTTACACAAAATGTTGTTCTATATTCGTCCTACTTTGAATACGATGGAAGTACTGGCCGGAGCTGTGTCACTTATTGTAACGGTAATTAAAATATAAAAAAAAAAAAATAGAACCTTATTTAACATGTAAAATTTTTAACTTTCTTTTCATAAGAATGATTTGCATGGAGGACATGCATTAACTTTACTATTCAATCAGATAAGTGCCTTGACCGGCGATGAGGAATCTCAGCGATTTATGATTCAATTGACGCAACGTGCTGCTGTTCCATATATGAATATCTTGCAATTGTGGATTCAAAAGGGAGCTATTAACGATCCGCAGCAGGAATTTCTAGTGGAAGATAACGAAGTCATTCGCCGAGAGGAATTGCCAGAACATTATTCGTCGGATTACTGGGAGAAACGGTTATTAAACACGCACAAATATTATTAATATTGTTAAAGAATTTTTAGGAACGATTTATGATTTCAGTTATACAGTACGTCGTGAGCGAATACCATGTTTTTTGGACAAAGTGTCCGATATTATCTTACGTACGGGCAAATACTTAAATGTAATACGTCAGTGTGGCAAGAAAGTAACTCTTCCGCAGACTATGGACTTACAATTTTCACCAACCAATCAAAATCATATTGCCGTTATACAGAACGCTTATCGATTTGCTTCGAAAAATTTACTTGAAGTGTTACTTAAAGAGAATGATTTAATGGGTCATTTGATGTCGGTCAAACGTTATTTGCTATTGCAACAAGGTGACTTTATCACCGAATTTATGGATGCTTGCGAGGAGGAGTTGGCCAAGAATGTCGATAAGGTGTTGCCCATGAAATTGGAGAATTTATTAGGTCTTACTTTGCGTCTCTCATCAGCTAAGCATGACCCCTATAAAGATGATGTTCATTGTGAACTTTTGACCTATGATTTGGTGACACAAATGTCGAAAATCATGAACAATGAGGAAGGTAAATCATAATTTATTTTTTACTTACTAATTGTGATCTCCTCATTCTCTCAGAATATTGGTTAAGTCATGACCGTTTAGATCTTAACGGGTTGGAGTGTTTCGCATTTCGATATGAGGTTAAGTGGCCGGTGTCGTTAGTCCTAAATCATATAGCGATTTCTAAATATCAAATGTTATTTCGTCAACTTTTCTATTGCAAACATGTAGAGAGACAGTTATGCAAGTAGGCGTACATAACAGCGACGAATAGTTCGATGGCGATATTCATTTTAAACCTTTTCATTTTTATTTGTAGAATTTGGAAAGAGAATTCTATAGCGAAAAAGTTTTCGCCGCAAGCCGCTGAACTTTATCGATCGGCTTTTACTTTACGGCAACGAATGATGAACGCTGTACAAAATCTTGAATACTATATGATGGTAGAAGTTATCGAACCAAACTGGCATTTATTTATACAAAATATGAATAAAGTAAGTATACAGTGTTGATTATGATAAAAGCTAAAAACTTAACAAAAAATTCTCTTCAACGAAATATTATGTATTTCTTGATTAAAGCGATTACCTTGAACGTTGTCCTTTTCAACGTAAACGTAATAATGTAATGATTTTCATTTGTAAAAGTATGTAGGGGGTATTAAGTCCAATTCGATAACTGATGCATTCGCTTTTATTAGATAAATATTTCATAGCAAGGAAACAACGATTTATTTGTTAACTTTTAATTATCATTAATGGAGAGGAGTACAGATATTCTTTTCTTCAAGTAGCAAATATGATGTTAAGAGTTATTATTTGCACATTAATTAGTCTAAAACTTTTTCGTTATTTAAGGTTGAAAATGTCGATGAAGTATTATCGTTCCATCAAGATTTCCTGGATTCGTGTTTGAAAAATTGCATGCTAACTGATACTACAACCCTGAATCGTTCCATCTTTAAAATGTCCAACATATGCCTGAAATTTTGTGAATTTATTCAAGTAAGTTCAATTTAAAAAAAATATTTTTTTTTCATTCAAAATCTATTATTTTTTGTAAAATTTGGATAAATTTTTGGCGTAAGATTTCCTTTATTCACACTTTCGTTTTTTTTTTTGCATCATTTTAAGCAATTTCTAATTAAATGGCATATTTTCTGAAAATTTCCGATTTATATTGCTTAATTTTCAATTTTATTTCTTAAAACCAAAACAAAAAAAAAAAAATAAATAAATAAATAAAGAAGTCGCAACGATTATTTCTTGATGCTGAGCTCACTTCAATGGTTTGCGATAGTAATGATGAGGATAATTCAGATTCAGAACTTGATTTTTCAAATCAGAAGCAGGTATAATAACTTATGCACATCTATTCTCGTATATTGTAAAACTCATTATTCATCAAAACAAAAATAAATAAATAAATAAAATAAAAACGTTTACATTGAAATTATCGCCTTGTACTACTTACAATAGATTTTCTGTTTAATGTAAAAACAAAAATTATATAATAATCTAGCTTTTGATATAAAAACGTACACAATATCTGGCTTATGCATGTTTATTTTTGTAATGATTCAAATTTGACTTTATATATGTATAATTTTTTTTTTTTTTTTTTTTTTTTGGTTAATTATATATATATATATATATATATATTTATTTATTTTTTTTTTTCTTGTTAATTATATTTTTAAAGAGCATTTTAAAATATTAATACAATAAATGATAAATTTACTCGGATCGCAAGAGCCGGCCTAATACTATTTATTATCATTGCTTAAAAAGTTTTTTGTGATTTTGTTTGCAAAATTTTTCCCATTAGATCCGTAGATGCAATTGAATTATTTTAAAACTTCTATATTACATTCAGTAATTTTTAACAGGTAATAAGAAAACATTTTGAGAATTGAGTAGGATCTGCTATCGGTAATAATATGTATGCAATAATAATTTGGAGCTTTGTTTTAAAATATATACACATGATTATATATTTATTAGTAGTAATATATCAAACATATTAAAAAAAGGGAAAGGCCGCGAGAACTTATTGTGTGCAATTTTTATGCCCTACACCAATTGTGATATAAGAGTATATTAAGTTTGTGTGAATGTATGCAACAAAAAAATTTGAAGAGAGCCGATCGATTCAGAATTAGTTTCCGAATCTGTCTATCCATCCACTTTTCCTTTGTTTAACCTACATGCCGCAATTTCGATGCAAAATAGTTCGCTTCCAATATAACAACTTATTTTGGAAAATTCTCTTTATATATTTGGGGTGTTGCAGGGTATTAAATGATCGCCCGTGACCCATTCAAATGTTGTTACTTGTTCATAATTAAATTAATAATTTTAAAATAAAAAGATTATATATATATATATACATATTTTTATATTTGATGGCCTTGAAAACATTGCAAGCTTTTTCACCAGGGAGCAGCTTTTCCAAGGAGAATGAGTACGATGCACACGGCTTTTGGTATAAAAGAAAAAATATTTACCTTCGTTTACTCTTCAGCCGATATGAAGCTAATCTATATGATTATGATTAACCATTTAGTCATATAGATATGGATTTATAAATAAAATGGATAAAAGATAGGCGCACTGCCTTTTCATAGGTGTAATTCCTTTAGTCCATTGAAAAATGTTGATCGCCTTTTGTTAAATTTATTAAGTCAATTATGTCATCTTCTATTAATGGTGGGCTTGAGACTCCATCTATCATGAATATACGGCCATGTTCTACGTAGAATATGCTTTATGTAGAAAATGTTGCTTACTAACACGTTCGCAATCAATGAGACTCGTTAATGGGACTCGAAATCAATCATAAAGTGAATAAAAATTTTGTACTTTCTTTTTAGCTTTCATTATCAATTTTGTTTGCACATAAAAAACGAATTACGTATACGTAAAGAAATCTGTCTTGTAATTTTGTTAATTCTTTCAACAAAAAAAAAAAAAAAAAAAAAATGCAATGTATTGTACTTAATAAATCAAACATTTGTTTCGACCAAGCTATTGCATAATAACGTATATACAATTATTCTTTTTGCAGTCGGAGACATCATTAGCGCCTACGGACACCTTCTCGGAACGCGTAAAACGTTTCGATCTTGAATTCACCGCGCTTCTCATTGGCTTACTGAAACAGATAAATGATGTAGCTTCGGATAATCCATCAGATCGTTTCATTAATCTGGTGCATCGGATTAATTTCAATTCATTCTATAATGAACAAATGGATAAGTTATGTGCAAAAGATGCCTTAATGACACATCGTTGAGAATATTCGTTTCATTTAATACCGCCGAAATCAAAACAGTTTATGCTAATTTACAAAAAAATAATTTCCTTTTGTACGTATTGTTTTTCCATTTTTACTTGTTCTCTTATTTGTAATACTATCCTTTAAATAAATATTTTTAGTTTACATGTTCGCCAATAGACTCGTCTCTAATCGCTTTTATTCTCGGAAAGATTAAAAAGATAGGCAAATATTGAATATTGAATGGGCGTGGCTTTCTTTTTTCCATCTTTTTTTTTTGTTTTAATATAAAGAAAGCAGAGATGTTTTTCTATCTTTATCAACTTACGTGCAAAAAGTTTCAATGCTTATCAATGTCTGTCCAAGATATTACATAGACGATTAGACGGACAGACGGACACGCTCGATCGATTCAATCAATTTAGAATTTAACGATTGTCAATAATATATATATGGTTCACTGAGAATTTTGAACCCCCCCTTCGGGTTATTGCAAACGACTAGACAAAATGAAAATACATTATCCATTGATGATGAATATAAAAGTGGATGCACGTTAGTTGATGGTGTGCCATAAAACATAGATCACTTGGCTTTTCTGTCATTTATTCGTTTATTTTATTTCGGACAAAGGTAGTGCCATATCGTAATAGACGAAGGACCCAATTCGCCATCCTCTGTTGATGATCAGGAATTTGGGAAATTTTAAATGGTTAATGATTTATATCAGAAAATGTAAAAAAAGTTTTTCTTATGAAAAATTCGTAATCTTCACAGATATTTGGAACTTGATATCGCTATGAATTTTAAGCATGAAATCCCCGTTCAAAAAAGGCGGAGTTTCTCTCAATTTCGCACTGTTGGTGCAACGTGCTGAGCTTACGAAAGAACATAACGTAGAGCACGATAATTACGGGCTTGGGTTTACGGTTGCCAACGTCGAATGATCGCTTGACTCAATCATCCTTTTCGACAGATCGCTGGGTGTGTTTGCGATCCGCAGACGATTGCATCGGGAACCCTTTGTTTAGGACGTGGAATCAAGCGATGTTTTGAATAAAATTATACTTCGTGGTGAGAGTCATTTTCACCTCTCTGGATATGTAAGCAACTAAAAGCAACTGTGACATCTTGATGAGCCAAAAAATCAGCCGAAATGGTAGAACGCTCCCTCCAACTACAACGAATGACAAGTTGATGCGGTTTTCGGGCTCGCGTAGTAATTACCTCGTATTCTAATATGATAAATCGATGCGTAATGAAATGTAGCTGGCTGAAGCAAGATAGGTAGCAAGGTAGGGCCACCTGCCATACGGCTCGTGAAGCAGAGATTCCGCTGTCTGAGTAATTTAAAATCGATTATCTACATATGCTGTCACTTCTGTCAAACAGAAAATCAGGAATATTCCAGGTGCAATAAAGTTCGGGATCTTTCTTATTCGAAGTAATTGAGCAAAAATCCCGCGAAATATGTACATATACGATTGTCTTTTGTAATCGTCCTATACTACTCGAAATTTATACCGTGTAGCATTGCAACTGTGTTTTATAAGCTTATCGTCTTCTATGTAAGGACGTTTGTATTCTATTCTAAAACTTTATATAAGTAAAAACAAGTAAGAACATTATAGCCGGGCAAGGGCGATTGTTATATGCCCTATACCACATTGTCTAACGCAATTCTTATGTTTATTCTAGAACTCAAAAATTATATCTTGCTTCTATATAAAGGCAAATTTTTCCTGAGCGTATTGAATGTAGGACAAGTTCAAGCCTTACATAGGGTGGGACTCAAAAATAGGCATAGATGGTCCAAATTTTGGAGAGTACAATCTAAGCCCATTTTTGAGTCAATTTTCATCACCACATACTAAAACTTTGACTTTATTGCTCTATAAAGGGTCAATTTGCGTAAAAATTCTTATTAGGATCCATAAAATAGGTCGAGTATGTCCATGCTTGGTACATTTAATTTATTTATGGTAAATTACTATTATGATATAATTTTCATCATTAGGTATTGAAAATGATACGTTTTTGGTCGCACGAACTTTAGTTTTCGTTATATGAGAAGGGGTTCAAAAATTTGCCACAACCGGTCCAAAGTTTCCATACCAATTTAGAATGCCCAAATACTATTACTTAGGCACATTTGCTGGGAAATTTTTGACAATTACAATTTTGGTCAAAAAAGTGGACCGATCCGAAAAATTTTAAATAGCGTTCGTCCTTGGGTCACAACACGTCGAATACATTTTACCAAGTTTCTTCGAAATATCTCAAAAATTGCGACCTATACTTTGAACACAAATTTACATGTGGACGAAACTTGAATCACATGGGCCTGTTTCTAGGATCCCATTCCATATAAGACTTCTCATGGATAGTAGGACTTTCAGAAATTCGTTTAACTTTTAATATTTTACTTAAACTTGCTTAATATAAATTTCTATTCATTTTCGTAACATACATTATCACGCTTTTCATACGGCAGGTGTACCAAAATGTGAACTGACGTAACCCATAATTGGCAAAATTAAATTTCTTATCAGGGATTTTATTAGAGGTTATATATTACAATCATTATCATTTTAAAAACTGAATGAACTGAATAATGTTTTCCTCATCGACATCAAATTAAATTTAAAAATTATGTATGGTCTATGGGTCCATGCGTTTGTTAAAAGATAACAAATATCTGAGATTAGGTTATCTCAAGTGGCTTTCTGTTGAATGAATAAGATGCGTATGCACAACTTGACGTTTCTTAGACAATTCAACATCGTAACACAATTTTGAAGTATCTCAAGATGCCTTTCTCGATATAATAAATTGAACTTGGATGGGCAGCAATACGATGCTTCTTCAAATAATGCATTAGTTAAGCCTTAATTTAAAAACTCTTGCAATTTGTAGGCTTTGCGCGATATTATCCTATTTTTAACCCATCAATGCTATTAAGCATTGCGTTAAAATGCACGAAAGTAATTTTCAAAAATTGCAAACTGAAGACTGGAACGTACGAACGCGTGGAAAGAAAGTAATTGGAAAATTTTCCGAAATTTCCGAAATGATTTCATCACCAAACCAACTGTAACATGCACTTAGTTGGGGAGATTGAGGGATCAAACGAAAAATGAATATCATTACGCTCTCTCGCTATTTTATAACTCGGATCATTATATGGGATGGTATGCATTTTGATTTGTTTCCAATCTTTTTCAGATACCTTTAGCGTTTTGAAAATCTTTTATTCCCTCTAGAGAGTCCAGCAACAAAGCTTGATATTTTCTTACGAACCTATGATCTCGGGCAGATACACTTTTCAGATTTTACATCTCAAGTATATGAAGAGAAATTGTAAAGAAATTTCGGTCAATGACGAAAATCTTAAATGAGAAACTTTGTTTAATTCATGTACAATGCATCTTCTTCTTTTTTTTTTGTTTTTTTTTTTTTTTTTGAAGCGGACATAACTATTTTTTTTTTGTGTTTCTGTCGTTTCGTTTTCTCTCTCCAATCATTTCTTCAATTTTGGCAAATGCATTTTAAATACATAGTTTGATATCGTTCGATATGGATTGAATGGACGATAGAATATCTAACTAACAGTATAGATACTTGCATGATGTATATACACACACACATATATATATACATATATACATAGTATGTAGTGTAGATATTTACAGACAGTTATGTGCAAATATTTTTCAGGTCTTTTTCCACCGATGGTCCTTGCAGTAGATACGCTATCATTAAAAATGTATTTACGAGATGTGGAAAACTAGATCCGTAAGTTTAGTGCAAGTAATCTGGTGCAAATTTTACAAGTTGCTAGCATGTGTGATCCAATTATAATGCTACTTAAAAAGTAGTCTCACTATTAAGACTATTAAGCTATCGATGATTGCAATAATAAATATTGAACCTAATGTTAATAACATCAGATCCTTGATATTTTCATAGTGTTATTGAGGAAAAACTTTTTCGTACAATCCGTAACAGGAAGGCTTGTCGTAAATAAGCTTAAAAGATAAACAACTGAATCTGCTGCATATACCTTCGTCCCTAATGCACAAGTGCATTGTGTATATATTGGAACATTGCAAACGAGATATTTGTGTTAATCAATTAAAAGGTTCATATTATTATGTAATTGATCAGCAGTTGCACTTTGAAGTTCTAACACGATGCAAGCAATAATAATGGTTGAAAGATTTCAAGCGGAAAGTTCAAGTAAAAACTATGAAAACTATAGTTGAATACGGCTGGCTTTAATTATTTATATTCCGAGAAGTTCCGCGCAGTGTACACAGTGTAATTGATTCAAATGCGAATTGAAAGAAAAAAATCATATATTGTTTGGAGCATAATATTTGAATGTAGGGTGTGTAAGTTATGATTGAAAAAGGAAAATTTTTCTTCTTAATAAGCTAGTAGGAATGCTATAGCCGGGCAAAACTGACTATTAAATACTTTATATCAGTTGTACCCTCTTGTTTGATGCAAAGGCATGCTTTTCGCTCGAAAGCTCGCATTGCGGACGATGGTCAAAACATCACAAGCATACTTAATTAACTTCCCAGATAATTTATTATTTTTCAGTTTACGTCATAAAAACCTAGAAACTTGCTTTTCATGATAACCCCTGCATATATATATATATATATATCTTGGGGTTCTAAAACATAGATTTATGTGATCCAAATTTTGCTAATTTTAATTAATTTTTCTGTCAATTTACTGTTATGGATCAATTTTCGCCAAAAATTATTGAAAATAATAATTATTGTTACCGTATAAAGCCTTGATTTTTATAGCAACGATTCAAAAAATTACCTCTTGCTGATCCAAAGTTTCCACACCAATTTATAATATCAAAATATCATTACGCAGTGATTTTTGTCGCAAAATTCTAAAAATTATTAATATTTTTCTTATAACGACTTATCAAAATAAATAAAGCCTTAGATGGTAAGGGCTTGAAAAACTGGTTCGATCCGAATCATTTTCAATAGCGCTTTCTTCTTCTTCTTCTTCTTCTTCAATATATCTCGAAAATTGCAATCTGTAGGTTAAAGACATCATGATACATGAAAAGACATCAGTCAGACGGACGGAC